TCAGCCCCAAATAAGTAAATTCTGCTGGTTTAGCTTGTCCAAAAAGCACTAGACAGCTAGACAAAGTGGCAGAGAGAATGGCAAAGGGACTGATGTACCTTGGAGATGAAGATCCCCAGCTGGGAGGCCTTTCCTCCTCGAATGTTGAAGCCCAGCTGTGAGAAGAAAATAGGATTAGTAGTTGAGTGGAATGTGAACAACTGCCAGCTACTGGGACTTCTGCTCCAGTGGCAGCAGGGGAAGGCATTCAGAACCTGCAGCTGTTACCCATGGGTTCAGACAACACCCTGAAGCATTCAGGGTCTCTACTGGCACCTCTATGGCAACCCTTGCATCCCCCTGTGAAGCATCATCCCCATTTTACAGCTGGGGAGTAGAGGTCAGTGGCCCAGTTGGGAATTTAACCCCAAGCTTTTCTCAGTCCCAACCCTGTGCTTCAACCACAAGACATCCACTGCCTGGGGGGATAAGTGTCAGCCATCGCCCAAGAACAGGCCAGCAGAACTCTCATACCCTGGCCCCCAATTTCTAGGGGCAATTTCAGTTTATTATCTAGGAAACATTTTAACAAGTGATAAAAGTAGGAGAGGGAGTCACCCTGGTAACAGGAGCCCCATTCCCAGGGGCGGCAGGTTTGTATAATTTTTGGTGATGCCTAAAATGGGTCCAAGTCTCCCCCTGCCCCTGCAACTGCCTAAGGTTCTGGGAGGGAGTTTGGATGCAGGCTCTGGGCTGGGGCCAGGGGTTGGGAGAGGGTGAGGGGTGCGATATGGCTCCTGGGCAGGGGTCTCCTCATGCTGCTGCCTGTAGGCACCACCCCCACAGGTCTCATTGGCCACAGTTCCAATGGCAGAGTTGGGGCAGAGGCAGCGTGCAGAGACACACCCGCACTCCCAGGGGCCGCAGTGATGTGCCAGCTGCTTCCAGGAATGGTGTGCTGCATGGAGTGAGGGCGGGAAGGAAGCCGCTTTAGCCTTGCTGTGCTGCTGGTGGTGGCCCCTGAGGCCCTTTAAAAATCGCTCAGGGGCTGGGAGATGCTCTGGGGGAGGCATGCAGGGATGGCGGGAGAGACCAGCCCCTGAAGGTTGGTGGAGCCGAGCCCCTGTGCTCTGAATATTTCTGTAGCACAGGCACCACAGGCCCATACAACTTACCGCCACTGCCTCCAAAATGTCTCCCTTAGCATGTGCAGAAGGATATCCTTCTCAGAGTGTGGTGCCTCCCACCAACATCTCTCTACATGGACTGGTCTCCAAGCAGGACTTTTCACCTCTCAGTGGAATGAGATTGTTGTACGACAAGGGGCTGGAGAGGTGAGACTGAACTGATCCTTCACTGCCAACAGCTTCTCTAGGAAGCGGTAGATGAAGACAGTATTTGTGTATGACCCATATCTCCCATCCCCTGAGGCCATGGGGCATATTGTGCCTTAGAGCCCTGGAGTGAAGCAAACCTGCCATAGCAGAACAAGAACATACTAAAGCAGCAGACTGCACACATTGATGCCAGGTCTCAACCAGCAGTCAGCCCTACCTGGGCCTGTAGAAAAGGCTAGTGCCATGCCCTCAGAGTTCTCACCTGAGCCCCAGGAGGCTTCTTCAGCACAATAGTGCGAGGCAGGTACTGGGTCAACTCATTATTGTAGTCAGGGTGGCCAATTCTCTGCAAAATGCAACAACTGCTGTAAGAGACCTGAAAGCAGGGAACATAATCCCCTAAAGGAGTTTTCTACACCCCAGACAGGAATTCCATGCTATCACTGCTCAAGATGCACTTTTGATACCTATGGTATGCTGCCAAGTAAAAGTGGTGAGGCTGGTGGCCAGCAGGGATTCCTCAAGTCATTGATATCAAGTGCTTATGTACAGCTATAGGAGATCCATCAAAGCCAGCTGACACTCAGCAAGGCTACATTACAGTGTGATCTCATCCCTATTACCATCACCCTTCCCCTCCTCCCCAAAACATACACCGCCATTTGCTTGTTACCCCCACTTGTGTTATTATGTACACTTTTCCAGGAAAGGTCTGTTTTGTCCTATGTTTTTGAACAGCACCCAACACAATGGAGACCTGACCCTGATAGAGCTTGTGTGCGCTACCACATTACAACTAGTGTGACAGCCTTATTCCATCCAGGACAAACAAGGATCTCTGCTGTCGGATGCAGGCTGTGAGGGGAGGGCAGTGCTAGCCAGAACTCAGCATCACATGTTAAACCACTATAATTCAATATTAAAGGATGTGTTGAATCAGGGGGTTAGACCAGGGGTGGGCAAACTGTGGGCCATTTTAAGCCGGCCCCCTCTGGCCGGGACGCTGGGTCGGGACCAGACCATGCGGCTTGGCCCTACTCCGGTCAGGGCGCAGGGTTGGGGCCGCACCACGTGACTCAGCCCCACTCCGGCGCTCCAGACGGGGCGCAGGGTTGGGGCTGCACCACTCGGTTCCCGGAAGCCGCGGCTTGGTCCTGCTCTGGCTCCTACATGCAGGGGCAGTGCCTGCAGATGGGACAGTGTGCAGAGCCGCCTGGCCACGCCTCTGCGCAGGAGCCGGAGAAGGGACATGGCACTGCTTCCAGGAGCCGCTTGAGGTAAGCGCCACTTGGAGCCTGCACCCCTGATCCCCTCCTGCTCTCCAAACCCCTCGATCCCAGCCCGGAGCACCCTTCTGCACCCTAATCTCCTCATCCCCATCCCCATCCCAGAGCCCACACCCCCAATCAGAGCCCTCACTTCCCCCCCACACCCCAATTTTGTGAGCATGGCCCACCATACAATTTCTATTCCCCAATGTGGCCCTCAGGCCAAAAAGTTTGCCCACCCCTGGGTTAGACCCTGATCCTTCAGGGCTTTGACGGGGCCCTAAGCAGACCACATATCTTCTCAGCCAGTTCCTTATAAAAGGCATCATCTCTATCCCAAAAATTAAGCTTTCTGGTCCACCCAAGAAACCCAAAGACCCCGCTGTCTAACTCAGAGGGCCAGGGCCAAATAAAGTTGTAACCTCAGCATCTCCTTTAATGGGGACAACAAAACTTCACGGGATATGGCACAATTGCTGTAGATCAATGCAGTCTAGATGGGAGACCTGGGAGGACAGTAGGTCACGTGGCTTCTTTTTCCTCTAGAACAGGGGTCCCCAACGCGGTGCCCGAGGGCGCTGGGGCATCTAAGTGCACCCGCGTACTGGCCAGCGGACGAGCATCTGCCGAAATGCCGCTGACAAGCAGCGTCATCCAGAGGTGTCGCCGCCGCCGATTTTCGGTGGCATTTCGGCAGATGCTCCTCCGCCGCCACGGTCCTCCGTGGCTCGTCGTCTGGCCAGATGAAAAAGGTTGGGGACCACTGCTCTAGAACACCTTGGCACAGCATCTCTTCCTGCACTCAGAAATGTTTGGTTCTTAATTGGCCCAGCAGTCAGGAAATGCTTTGGTCAAGTTTGAAAGAAATGGCTATGGGTGGAACAGGTTCCTTGCATTAGTCAAGGAGACTGGGTGTGGTGGCCCCAAGCAAGGCAGAGGACTGCCATTTTTACTCAAGGGATGCTCCTGTGATAGCCCGAGCTAGTCAGAAATCTGAGCAAATCAATGCCAAAAAGCCCCAGCAGCTGCTGTAAATAGGAACTCCATGGTAATAAAGGGGGACTACAACCACTGTATTAAAACAGAAGGGAAGAGGACACCAGGAACACACAGAGGGCAAGTTTCAAAAGATTATTTGGAGAGTTAAAATGTATCCTTTTAAAACAGATTTCTTCTGTCACAAATTAAGCCTGAGATAACTAGCAAAAATAAACTTTATGATCTTGTTTACTTTTTGTGCTTCTTGTTATTTGGATGGAAAGATCAGATTAAGCAGTTTGAGGTTTTAGTGAATTTCACCTTCGAGTTCTGTACTAGGCTCAATACTGTGAACACTGCAAAACAAGATTTAAAACAAAACATGGCTTTCACTAAATATTTTATTTCATGGAAGTTTCTAGCAACATTAAGTTGTGGCTTGTAAGTTCTAGTTTAGCTTTCTGATTTATAGCAGGTGTAGCTCTTATTTAGGCCCCTGTCCAGCAATGAGTATGGGTGGATCTCTGTACTAATATGAACCCCCATTGTTTTTAATTGAGTTCCATGCAGAAGTCCATCTGCGGTTGTAGGATGAGGACCTTGAATTACGTGCTCCTGGGGCAGAGCACTGGTGGTCTTAGCCATCTGTAAGGCAGAGCAGCTGTTGGTGTAAAATGAATTAATATTTAACAAAAATAGTTGATGCTTATGTTAAAAAAGGTTACAGACAATTATAATAGCTATTTTCCATCCAATTTGCCTCTCAGTCTACCCAACCTGACAAAGGGTTAGTAAATGCTTAGCTCATTTCAAGAGAATCACTGGCACCACCTACAGCTGTAAAGGTTTATAAGAGATTTCTGAAGACTCCCCCAGGTTAAGCCAAGGCAGCTCACCCAGAACCGAGCTCTCAGAGGAACCATCATTCCAGCTGTAACGAGTTTCCCCAGGGCCCAGCACCCCAGTTTTCAGAGCGTCGGAAGCCAAGCACTGACCTCGTGGGGAGGGATCCAGGCCGGCGGGTTCTCATAGGCCGGCAGGAAGACGACAGGGTAATCGTCATAGGGGATCCTGCTGTCCATCGCGGGAGCGGCTCTGCGGGGAGAAAGTGCGGCGTTCCGTGAGCGCCTGGACTACTGAACCCCGAGGCCACCCCCACCCTACGGCGCTTCCAGCTGCGGCGGGGCGAGAGCAGGCTCAGCTGATGGGGCCCGTCCCGCCGCACCGCTGGCGGAGAAGCCCCCTCCTACAGCGCCCAGGCCCGTAGCTCCGCCAGAGGGAGCCCACCCCGATAACCTCGCACCGCGCCCACAGCACGATCATGTGACCGAAACCGACCTAGATCATGTGACAAAGCGCGAGTCGATGACGCCATCCCTAGGTGCTGCCCCTGGTTACATGCAGAGTATGTCTCGTCCCGTACGTGGTGACGTATCACGTCGTGGCCCTGCCATTGGCAGGCGGGGCAGGTTTGAATGTTGGCGGTTAAAGCTCCGGGACAAGGAGAAGAACAAGTAAGTGGTGGCCGAAGGTTCAGGCAGGTGACGGTTCTTTCCCGCAGCCCTGGGCTGCTGGCGCCTGTTCGTTGTCACGGGGCCTCCGCGAGGGCAGGTATCTCTTCCCCGGGCGGCCCGGGGGCTCTGCGGGCCGGCCCGGCTTGTTCTCCGGTGGCGGGATCCCAGCTCCCCCGGTTGTTGGCTCGGGGGCCTGGGCTGCCCCCATGGCGTCCCAGTGACCCTCTGAGCGCGGGGCGGGCGGAGCTGGGCAGAGCCTCCCGGTCCAGAGCTCGGCCGTGTCCCCCGCCGGCTTCCCCACGGGGCCCCGCCTCAGCCCCTCGGGGTTAGAGAAACGGGGGTACAGCTAGGAGCAGCGTCCGCCCCCCCGGCTTGGCTGAGCCCCGCCCCCCATGGCAGGAGCGAGTCCGTCTCTCTGCTGCGAGGCCCCTGCCAGCACCACGGCCCGCTCGCCATCTCCTCCCGCCCTTGTTCCCCGCGACACAGCTGGAGGCAGTGGAGCCCTGTGCCCGCCTCCCTGCCTGTCGCTGGTGCTGCCTGAGTCAGCCCAAGCCTGGGCTCTGCTGGCTTCTCTTTATGAATGTTATTACGCTTTCTTCGTGGTCGGTTTGTCACGATTCCTCCCGTGGGAAGCTCTGGGGCAGGCAGAGCCATGACTGCTGATGGTATGGCATGATGATGCTCTTTTCCAGAAGGGGCTCGGTTACTATGGTGACTGGACACAGAAACTGAGGCTCAAGGAAGTGAAGGTTGTACAGCACGTCATCATTTTGGGAATAGGGAGGCGAAAAGCTAGTCATCTCTCTCCAGACCCTCAGGTGACAAAAATGCTTCTTTCCTCCTGTTAAAACTGATTTTTTATCATCTGTACTATTTTTTTCTGAGAAACAATCTCCTTTCCAACTAAATAGCAATCTGCTGCAGACACCTTGTAGCAGGATATTGATGAGAGATTGCAGCAAAACCTACAGCAATCCTTGATCAGAAGTGTAGCCACCACCTGCTGCTGAGGAGAGAGAATGGGGTCTTTACTACTCCACATGTTCCCTAGCCTTAGTGTTTTTGGTCTTCCTTGCTAATGTATAGCTCTTTCTGTTGCTGTTCATCCTTTTCTCATGCATTGTCAGAGTGAAATTATCTGATTCTGATTAGTTTCAAGGCTAGCCCTGAAACTCTAAGCAGTCATAAAACCAATCAGGTTGTCATTAGTTACTCTGGTCCTTGGAAACGGTTTGAGCAGCAGAGGCCTTGGAGGTATGTTTATGTACTTGGGTAGGTGATGCTGCTTCAGGTCACCTACAGCAGGTTTTCTTTACAATTCTGAGGGCTTGCCTACTACAGGTTATATCAGCATTATGCTGACCTCAGCACCGGTGTGGACAGCACAATGTCGGTGGGAGAGCTTCTCACGCCAACATAGCTACTACCTTTCATGGAGGTGGTTTTATTATGCTGATGGGAGAACTCCCTCCTGTCAGCATAGAGTGTCTTCACCAGATGTACTACGCCACTGTAGTGCTTCTAGTGTAAATGAGCCCTAAGTGTCCTAAAATCTAATTAATTTTTTTTTAAGTTAAATGTTAAATTATGCAGAAACTGCTAGCTTAGGGTTTCTCACTTATATGGGTAAATTTTCTTTGTGCAGTGAATGTGATATAATGGAATCATAGACTCTTTCCAACTTGCCAGTGCAGACTGTGTGGAAGCTGAATGTGTCTTAATGCCCAGAGCGGCTGTCAAGCCTGATAAAGGAAATCCAGCTGATGATACTTACAGTGAGACACACTTAATTTTATGTCTTTGGTTTTTTTAGGGAAGCTATTGTAATCTGAAATGGTGAAAGAGGATGAGAAAGTCATTCCTGTGCGTGTGGTACTCCGCTGCCGCCCCTTGGTCCCCAAAGAGATCAGTGAGGGATGCCAGATGTGTCTATCCTTCGTGCCTGAAGAGCAACAGGTAAGTAAATGATGTCTTGACTATGAAGGATCAAAATCTTTCACTTACACTAGAATCACTCCATTGAGTCAGTGGTGTTTCTGTAGACTTGCACCATTGTAAATTAGCTGAATTTAATATCAAGTAAATGAACCCATAAACTGCAATGTATGTGTCACTACTTGCTTTCTCATCTTTCCCACAGGTGATTGTAGGCAATGACAAATCCTTCACATATGATTTTGTGTTTGACCCATCTGCTGAGCAGGAGGAAGTCTTCAATACATCTGTTGCACCTCTGATACGGGGCATCTTCAAAGGTGAGAGCCTGTTGGGTTGTTCATAGTAACTAAGTGAAATCTCTTTTTAAAGATGCTGTCAACTCTATCAATTGGGTTCAGGGTGGCATCACAAAGTCAAGTAAAACAGCAAAAGCAGCCAGGAAAGATCACTTGGTTATCTACTTTGATTCCCCCCGCCCACCATACCTTTCCAAGTAAACAAAATGCTTCTCTGATTAGGAATCAATCCCAGGCTGCAATGGTGAGTGCTAAATCCTGCCTATTTACTGCTAGCGTGATATTCCACTTGGTCACCAAGATGACTTGTGCAGTCTCACTGAGCTTCAAGGAAAGCAAAAATGGACTGACTCACTTAAAACACCATAGAACATAATGTTCTATGTTAAGATCCATTTGACTGCTTGATCTGCAGTCTGACACTTGAATGTTATATACTTCAACTTTGAGATTGGTTACCTAAGATGTTGGTGGGGAGGGGAAGGTTGACAGAGCAATTAAAAATTTTCTGGCATATTTAGTCAGCCATAAAATTAGGTTTAATTAATAAATCTCACCTCATATTTCGTAGTCCAGATAAGGCATCTGGTTCTTTTCAGCTTTTTGTTCTTGATTTAGCAGACTATGAATTGTGCATTTATGCTGTGTAAACTGAGAGGGTGAGTGGCAATGCTTCTCTGAATTGGAGATTCTAGCTTCTGAGGACACTTCACACGGAAGCATATTAGGATACTCCAATCTGATAAGGTCTCTTCTTAGATGATCCCATCCTTCTCCTGATTCCAGGCATTCTCTACTTCTTCAGGGTATAATGCTACTGTCTTGGCGTATGGACAGACAGGCTCTGGAAAAACATATTCTATGGGAGGGACTTACACTGCTGATCAAGAGCATGAACCTACTGTTGGGGTCATTCCTCGTGTTATCAAACTGCTCTTTCAGGAAAAAGAACGGAGGCTGGAATGGGAATTCACCCTGAAAGTCTCTTATTTGGAGGTAAAAGCTATTTACAGTTTCAAAATACCTGGAATTAAAAGCAAACTTTGTAATAGAGTGAGGCTTAAATAGGTCAAATTCTTCAGGCAACAAGGCTTATTAAAATCCAAGCCTTGGGTCACACATTATGTTGGAGGCTTGGCTGGGACTGGAACCAGATTCCAGTAGGCTCCTAGTCTTTTTTTTCTAATCATAAAGCCTCCTTCTTGTGGTTGTTTAAATAGTCTGGTGTTTTGTTTTTCTTTTGTAACACTCCAGTGAGTAGGGTTGTGGCAGCTGAACCAGGAGAGCTGGTATAAAGGGGAATCTAAAGGACTTTAGAAAGGGACCTATAACTTTCCATGAATGAAAGCCTATGTAGCAGATGGGACTGCATCCTTTTGTCCTCAGTGTGCATATCTGGCTGCTAAGTCTAAACTTATGCGTGCTACCTGGGACAAGCTCCTAGAATGTTCTGTTGCAATCTATAATGGGGATAGGACTGCTGCACTTCTTCCTAGAGCAGTGGTTCTCAAACTTATTTGATCAATTGAGCGCCCCCCCCACCCCCTTCTTTGTGTCTGTAGTCGTTTACGCAACGAGTACATATACCATCACACAGCTCTGACGGCAGAGTGGAGAGCAGCAGCGGCTGCTGGCTGGGCACCCAGCTCTGAAGGTAGTGCATGCCAGCAGCACCACAGAAATAAGGGTGGCAATGTGAAAAGTGAGATTTGTCAATATCACTTTTCACAGTAGATTTAGCGCCCCATTGCCACCCTTGCTTCTGCCACTGCAGGGCTGACAACCAGAGCCCGCCACCTCTTGGTGAGGGATTGAGGAGGAGACTAGGGAAGGAGAGCCTGAGCCTGGGTGGCGCAGCTCTGGCTGTCCCCTTTATCCCTGCCTCCCAGGTGTGCTCAGCCCTTTGGCATGAGCCCCAGCCACCCAGGGCTGACAGCCAGAGCTCTTCCCCACCCCCAAAAAAGCACACAGCTCTCTCCTCCCTTGACACATTCCCACGCCTCCCTTGGGAGTCCCACCCCATGGTTCGAGAACCGCTGTCCTAGAGAGATTTGCCTCAAATGAGCAAGGAGCATCTCCAGCATCACACTCTTCTCTTTTGGGAATTGGGGTGCTCAGGCTTGTGGAACTTTTGTCATTGAGGAGACCATGGGGATGGAGAGAGGGGCACATATGTAGAAATAGAATTTAATGATAACACAACTCCAACTCACAGGACTGGGGTCAAGTTAAGTCTGCACGTCTTAGTGAGTAAGAGGTGTGCAATGTCTTGCAAAGTTAGCCTGGTTCAGCCTAACCCTGTATTGTCTCTCATGCTCCGTGCCCACTTCTGCCTGGACCACTTATTCTGAGTTTCTGTTCAAATACCTTCAGATCTACAATGAGGATATTCTAGACCTGCTGTCCCCATCTAGAGAACGATCTCAAATCAGCATACGGGAGGACCCCAAAGAAGGCATAAAGGTGCGTTGTTCCCACAGAGGTGGGCATGTTGGGGGCGGGGGAAGAGGTCAGAGTCCAGTGTTTCAATCAAACCCAGACACGCTTTTACAGTTCATAATCTTGCTGTCTCGGACTCTCTCTTGTGCTTCACTCCAGTCGCTGATACAAAAGCATGCTGACTTCCAGCTCTTTTCTAAATTAAATGTCTGGTGATTCTCAAACCTACTCTGTGGTAACTTCATTAGGATCTAGATTTCAGACCACAGCTAATTAAAGCTCTCAGTGAACTGATAACATTAACTCAAACCCTGATTTTATTTAAAGTAACTAACACATTACTGCAGTTCCCGTAGCCAAACTTCCTTGCTGCATGCCTTCTCCCAAACTTAAAAAGAGGAAAGCTACAGCAAAATGGCCATGGCAGGCACTGGCCATAGATATGAAACTAACCTCTGTCTCGAAGTCCCCCAGAGTAGGCCTGAAGTCCATAGATGGGGTACGGTGTAGGGAAAGCTTGTGCTGCTGTTTCATTCTGCATCTGGTCTATGGATAAATTTAGCTTTTGTCTCCAGGGCTTGTCAGTCATACTTCATTAATATGAAACTCCATTTCCAAATGGTGGGTGGGTTGCTGAGTTCCACGCATCCAAAAACCTTGGCCATATGTAGTATGTGTTCTAGATGGATGCCTGGAATGGAACAATGGTTGTCATATGCAGGTTTGCATGCTGGCACCCTCAGAGGATTTGCTTCTGTATTTTAGATGAGGCATGACTCACGTTAGTGGCAGCATACTGGACTCATAGGTGGAAATTAGATGTGCTTACTTATAAGCTGTTAATGCAGCTCTTAGTTGGCACAAGTTTGGACCTCTTGGTGAGCATTAATCTTTCTGGTAAAGTCTGTTAGACTACAGCAGAGTGCAAATGTGTTTTTCTCCTTACTCTTTTGGTTTGCTAGTTATGGTCACAGTGGCATAGAAGCAGGGACTTGGTCGGAGACCTAAAGTACGCATCTGTGATGTAGTAAATAAAGGCTGAATATTGGGAGGCAGGGGAAGAAAATGAAATCCAATTCTTTATTCTTGGCACAGATTGTAGGATTAACGGAACGGGATGTGGCATGTGCCCAAGATACCATCCTCTGTCTGGAGCAGGGAAACAATTCCAGAACCGTGGCCTCTACAGCTATGAACTCTCAGTCCTCGCGGTCCCATGCAATCTTCACCATTTCAATCGAACAGAGAAAGAAAAGTGACAAGTAAGAAAGCGATAACTCCTTAGGTAACAGTTCTGATTCAACCCTGTCTCTTGTCAATCTGAGATTTCATACTTGCCTATCAAAAGGTAATCTTTTTAACCATTACTGGTTGACTCGCTCTAGAAAAAGCTGCATCGACGATATACAGTCACTGGACTCTCCTAATTTCAAAAGCTAGTGGCAATACTTTGATGTGAAATGCACTCTTAAAACCCATTCGATCAGCTCTGATGTGAAATCCCCTCCATCCAGCTTGTTGTCGCATTCTAACTACACGTTGGCTCAGGAATGTAACTTTTCTGTCTTCTGTAGGAACAGCAGCTTTCGCTGCAAGCTACACCTTGTAGATCTTGCTGGCTCCGAAAGGCAAAAGAAAACCAAGGCTGAGGGAGACCGACTAAAGGAAGGTAAGGAAGCACAGTAACTTCAGACAGCTTCAGTAATGCAAGCTTGTGCTCTTCACATCTGACATTCCTGGAAAGGACAAAATATAGCACACCACTCTGAAATCTTGACCTTAAAGGTGACACACAAAGGGGAAAAATACTTGTTTTTGCTGGGTTTTGAGGTATAAGGAGAGCTTGAAAGGTCTCTAGTAAAACGTTCTGTTTGGCTTTTATGTCAGGAATATATCCTGCTTTGTCTTCTGGACTTTGAGGGCTGAAGGACTAGCTGGATCATGGCTTCCTAAGTGACTGAAACATATGCCATTGAGGGTGAAGCTTTTCGGTCTGATTATCAAACACCGTGTTGTTCGGTTTTTAGCTCAAGTGCATGAAATGCTTTTGAAGAAAAGCTCTCTGAAAGATTCATATACCTTCAGTTTAGGGCTGATCTTCCATTGCAAATCTCCAAGGAATCCAGCAAAAACAAAGACCAAAAAAAAAAATAAAAAAAATTCTCTTTTTATCCACTAGAGCAGTGGTTCTCAAACTTATTTGTGTCTGTAGTTCTTTGGGTACCTGCTCCCTCCCCTTCAGCTACATGTACTACCACTGAGCTCTGAAGGCAGAGTGGAGAGCATGCAGCAGCACAGAAATAAGGGTGGCAATGTAAAAAGTGATATTTGTCAATATAACTTTTCACAGCAGACATAGCACCCCATGGCCACCCTTGCTTCTGCCACCTGACGGCTGATAGCCAGAGCCCTGCTGCCTCCCAGTGACGGACTGGGTGTGGTGGGGGGAAGGAGAGCCCAAGTGCCAAGGCTCCGGCTGTCCTCTTTATCCCCGCTTACCAGGCGTGCAGGCCCTTCTGCCTGAGTCCCGGTCACCTGGGGCTGACAGCCAGAGCTCTTTTTAAAAAAAGAAAAAAAAAATTCCACACATTCCTGAGCCTCCCTTGGGAGGCCTGCCCCATAGTTTGAGAGCTGCTGCATTAGAGGACTCATCCAGTTCTTCCTCTGTAGTCACCTTTTAAAATCAGAACAAGATTCCTAGGGTTGGTGCAGAAGAAGGGGAAACTTGGAGGAACTCATGCTAGCCACTGAAGAGGAGTAGGGCTCTAAGTAGATTTGAAACTTGTATTCGCCTTTGATCATAAGGACGTTCAATGAGATCCAAAGGCAGCCAATTCAAAACTGATACATAGCTTTTCACACAAGGCAGAAGATATTACTGCTACAAGATATTGCTGAGGCCATTAGCTTAGCAGGATTCCAAAAAGCGTTAGACATTTTACTTGGATAACAGAATATCTTGTCAGGTTTCAGAGGGGTAGCCGTGTTAGTCTGTATCAGCAAAAACAATGAGGAGTCCTGGTGGCACCTTAGAGACTAACAAATGTATTTGGGCATAAAGCATACGCCCAAATACATTTGTTAGTCTCTAAGGTGCCACAAGAATATCTTAGCTTTTACTATTATAACTCATCAGAGGGGTAGCCGTGTTAGTCTTTATCTGTAAAAAGCGACAGAGTCCTGTGGCATCTTATAGACAAACACATATTGGAGCATAAGCTTTCGTGGGTGAATACCCACTTCGTCAGACGCATAGTAAAAGCTAAAAATAAACAAGAGCTATGGAAGAAATATAAATCCTCAACTTTGGGGCATAAGACAACCTCTAGTGAGAATTAGGATCAAACTTTCTCTGGAGCAAGTTATTCCATAACTACCCACTGTAGGGTTTCTTCTTCTGAGGCTGCTGCTGGTGGTCACAGTCAGAGATGGGTACTGGATTAGATGAGGCGCGTTGTCAGTTACTACATTCCTGTGTTCAACAGCAAAGTACGGGGAAGGAAAATGTGCCTTGTCTTCCACTCTCGCCATCACACTGTAGCTGATGTCAGCACTGACGTTTCTGTTTCTGGGTGGAATGGATCTAAGATATAAGGGTAGAGGTCCAACATGCTAAAACATCACTGCCTGCTACGCTCTTTATGGACCTTTGACTGTACCAAAATAAGCCATCTGCTGCACTCTGATAATGGAGTAGGAGGTGAGAAGGGCAGATACTGTTCATCCTTGGCTCTGGTTTTTCAAAAAAAATCTAAATCTAGTAGGATGAGACTGATGTTCATTGAGTCAGAAATATAGGGCTGGAAGAGACTTCAGTGAGTCAAGTCCAGCCCCCTGTACTGAGGCAGGACCAACTAAACCAAGACAGGTATTTGTCCAAACTGTTCTTAACCTTCAGTGAGGGGGATTCCACAACTTGCTTTGGAAGCCTATTCTGGAATTTAATTAGCCTTATAGTTAGTTTCCTAACATCTGACCTAAATCTCTCTTGCTGCAGTTTAAGCCCATTATTTTTTGTCCTACCTTAGTGGACATGGAGAACAATTGATCACCATCCACTTTATAACTGTCTTTAATGTATCTGAAGACTACCATCAGGTCCCTCTTAGGTTAAACTGGTTACGTTTAGTCTTGAAAAAGAGAGAACTTTTCTCACAGTCAGATTTCCTAAACCTTATATCATTCTTCTCCCCCCCCACTCTCCCAGGGGACTCTTTCCAGTTTGTCCACATCTTTCATAAAGTTTTGCACCCAGAATTGAACACAGTACTCCAGCTGAAGCCTCACCAGTGCCAAGGAGAGCAGGACAACAACTGCACATGTATTAATAGGTGTGTCATATTAAGACACTTCAGAATTATATTGATCTCTTTTGCAACTGCATCACGTTGCTAGTTCATATTCAATTTGTGATCCCCTAAAACCTTAAGATGCTTCTGCAGTGCTACTGCCTAGCCAGTTATTCCCCCTTTTGTAGCTGTGGATTTCCCCCCCCCCCCCCCTCCTAAGTGCAGTACTTTGCACTTGTCTTTATTGAATTTCATCTTGTTGATTTCAGACCAATTCTCTAATTTGTCATGGCCATTTCAAATTTTAATCCTGTCTTCCAAAGTGCTTGCATCCCTACCAACCTATCATCTGCAAATTTAATAAGCATGATCTCCCCTCTAGTACCCAAGTCGTTAATGAGAATACTGAACAGTACCAGATCCAGGACTGACCCCTGCAGAACCTCACTAGATATACCCTCCCACTGTGATAGCAAATCATTGATAACTACTCTTTGAGTATGGTCTTCCAACCAGCTGTGCACCCATCTTATAGTAATTTCATCTAGACCACATTTCCCCAGTTTGCTTATGAGAGTGTCTTGTGGGACTGTCAAAAAGCCTTATTAAAATAAACATAACATCTACTGCTTCCATTCCCCACAATCCCCTAGGCCATTTACTCTGTCAAAGAAGGAAATTAGGTTGATTTGGCCTGATTTGTTCTTGATAAATCCATGCTGGCTATTCCTTGTAACCCTGTTACCATGTAGATACTTCCAAATTTATTGTTTAATAATATGTTCCAGTATCTTCCCAGGTATCCAATTTAGGCTGACTGGTCTATAATTCCCTAGGTCATCTTTGTTCCCCACTTTAAAGATACGTACTGTGTTTGCCCTTCTTCAGTCCTCTGGGACCTCACCAATCCTCCAAGAATTCCCAAAGATAATTGCTAATGGTTTAGAGATTGTCAGCTAGTTCCTTAAGTACCCTAGGATGAATTTCATTAGGCCTTGCTGACTTGAATACATCTAATTTATCTTAATGTTCTTTAACCCCGTTGTTTCCCTATTTGGGCATATTCAGTTGGAGCAAAGAGCAGGTCTTTAAAGAAGAGTTCCCCAGCCATTCTGACTAGGACAACACCGAAGGTTATTAACCTGCTGTGCTTCATATGACTCCACATAGCACATCTGTTCTGTAGCCATGATCATATCCTTCTTCATTAAACCTCTTATGCAAACCCGTGGGAAGAAGGCATAGGGCTGGATTTCCTTCTGGGAACCTTCAGAGTAGCAGCCGTGTTAGTCTGTATCCGCAAAAAGAACAGGAGTACTTGTGGCACCTTAGAGACTAACAAATTTATTAGAGCATAAGCTTTCGTGGGCTACAACCCACTTCTTCGGATGCATATAGAGTGAAACATATATTGAGGATATATATATACGCACATACAGAGAGCATGAACAGGTGGGAGTTGTCTTACCAACTCTGAGAGGCCAATTAAGTAAGAGGGGGAAAAAAAACTTTTGAAGTGATAATCAAGATAGCTCAGTACAGACAGTTTGATAAGAAGCAAGTGTGAAAATACTTACAAGGGGAGATAGATTCAATGTTTGTAATGGCTCAGCCATTCCCAATCTTTATTTAATCCTGAGTTGATTGTGTCTAGTTTGCATATCAATTCCAACTCAGCAGTCTCTCGTTGGAGTCTGTTTTTGAAGTTTTTCTGTTTTAAGATAGCCACCAGCAGGTCTGTCATAGAATGGCCAGACAGGTTACAGTGTTCTCCCACTGGTTTTTGAGTATTATGATTCCTGATGTCAGATTTGTGTACATTAATTCTTTTGTGTAGAGACTGTCCGGTTTGGCCAATGTACATGGCAGAGGGGCATTGCTGGCACATGATGGCATATATCACATTGGTAGATGTGCAGGTGAACGACCCCCTGATGGTATGGCTGATGTGATTAGGCCCTGTGATGATGTCACTTGAATAGATATGTGGACAGAGTTGGCATCGGGCTTTGTTACAAGGATAGGTTCCTGGGTCAGTGTTTTTGTTCAGTGATGTGTGGTTGCTGGTGAGTATTTGCTTTAGGTTGGGGGGTTGTCTGTAAGCGAGGACAGGTCTGTCTCCCAAGATCTGCGAGAGTAAAGGATCATCTTTCAGGATAGGTTGTAGATCTCTGATGATGCGCTGGAGAGGTTTTAGTTGGGGGCTGAAGGTGACAGCTAGTGGTGTTCTGTTATTTTCTTTGTTGGGCCTGTCTTGTAGGAGGTGACCTTGTCAAAGAAAATAACAGAACACCACTAGCTGTCACCTTCAGCCCCCAACTAAAACCTCAATATATGTTTCACTCTATGTGCATCCGAAGAAGTGGGTTGTAGCCCACGAAAGCTTATGCTCTAATAAATTTGTTAGTCTCTAAGATGCCACAAGTACTCCTGTTCTTTCTTCTGGGAACTGGAGCTTTTCTATGAGGACTAAACCTCTCCATTTTCTACATTTTGTGGCCTTTGTTGGCAAGTATAGGACATAAACAGTAATAAAGCAAATCTCTCTATTTGGTTTAGCTCCTACTCACTTTGGATATTGTTTGTGTGCAGGAATCAACATTAACAGAGGCCTCCTATGCCTGGGGAATGTAATCAGTGCTCTTGGCGATGAAAATAAGAAGGGTGGTTTTGTCCCTTACAGAGACTCCAAGTTAACACGGCTGCTGCAAGGTAAGAGTATAGTTCTGTTCTATAGTTAAAAATAAATATGTAACAAGGGCTGTGTAACCCTCAGGCCAAGTGTTACGTTCCTACTGACCAGATATGAATGTATTATTTGTGCTTTATTCCACAAACCTATGATCCTTAATCCCTCTGTGTTTTTGTTGTCTTATCTTCGACTGCAATTGCTTTGGGGTAGGGGCACAAACAACTCTAACTCTATCCTGCAGTGACACCATAAGGAAAAAACCATGAGAAACTCTAAACTGCCTTTTTAAAATGCATTAATCTGGAGGCACAATCACTAGTATCAACAAATCATAACTGAATGGTTACTGAACCATGTCACTACAGGGCAGAGCTAAGATGCTGTGTCCCTTAACAGTACATTTACACCTTAATTTTTTTTTTTTTTCTTAAATTTAACCTTAACTCTGAATTTTCTGAGTTTATAGTGCTTGTTTTTGTGATAAACACATTACAAGAATGTTGTCATTTACCCTAAATTCCTGATCTGGAATCTTTAGTCTTCATCTTAATGACACTTTAGTCTGGGAATAAAAAGGAAATAGCTTAATTTACTAAATTCGTTTTTCAGTCTTCCTTTTCACAGTACAGTAACTTGCTACATAAAACCATTTTTTCATGGTATTTTATATCTTTCAAAACATGGACTGTAAGGTGCCATAATCTTCTTAGTAAGAAACCCAGTTGAGTGAGCTGAACTTGAGCAGGGCCACTTGTGCCCTTCTCAGGAGACTTATGGCACAAAGCTGGATAATACATACTCTGAGTGCAAAAGTAATAAGCCATGCTGGGCAGCTCATTGCCAGGGGGAGTATATTTGTTCAGATCATCAAATGTTTCCTTAAAGTGAAGAAGAATGAAGTCTGATCTGATGTTTTGGCTGTCCAGAGTATCCATGAAATTTCATCTTTCAGGGGAGCTGATGCCAGCAGAAGTAAGAGTACTTGAAACATTGATATTGGGAACTGTGTAGCTGCTTCACATGAGAATCCCGTCAGGGGTGTGTGATGTCAAACACCGGCATTTGGAATAGAAACAGGAGGCAAAATAGCATATGTGGAAAATGTTGTTTAACTTCTTGGGGGGCGGGGGTGGGGGGAGGAAGAAGGAGGTGGAGGTGACATATTTCTGTGGGGCTCTTACTAGTTGTAACCTGGAAAGTTGCTTTTCTTACCGGTGTTTCTTGTAATGGGAGAAATCAGCTATTGGGTATTACATGAATAGTACGTTGGTCAAGACCTCTTGTCTGTGTTGGCTGTTGTGTTTTATGGGCATGGTGCACTCTTACAGCTCTGGGTTTCCATCACTAACCCGCTTTGCCATTTTCACTGTCTCAATAATGCTCTGTCCCATTCTGTTTCTATTCAGATTCCTTGGGTGGTAACAGCCACACTCTCATGATTGCGTGTGTGAGCCCAGCAGATTCCAACCTAGAAGAAACCTTAAACACTTTGCGCTATGCTGACAGGGCGAGAAAAATAAAAAACAAACCGATAGTCAACATTGATCCTCAGGCAGCTGAGCTAAATCATCTAAAGCAGCAGGTACTAGACACTTCCCTCCTTCAGCTGGAGGCTGGAAAACATGTGTTGTGCATAGCAAAAGTGAGAAAATCCTCATTGCACCAAATTCACGAAAGAGAAATACACTGAACTCACTTAGCTATGGGTCACCTTAAAGAAAATCCTTAAATGTTTCTTTGTCTGTATGGAGTGGCCTCTTCTCTAATGCCACATGCTACTTGAGATTCTCCACTATAAGTATGCTGCAATTGGAACATTTCTTTTCTCCACTGTTAGGTTGGGCCTTCAAGGTCACGCTTCGGTCATGGCCAAGTGTTGGTGTCAACTACAATTTACATTTCACATGAATTGTGCACTGGACACACCATAAGAAATGTCACTCCCACCAAAGTGCAGCCATCTCTGGAGTGAAGTATGGCATCTAGCCAACACTACACAGCTATACTGCCCAAGTTTAGGATAGGAAACGTAGAAGGGTTCATATGCAATCAATTGTATGCAAATCTAGTTAATCAAATTCTAGTTTGCCTAAAACATAAGGATAATGCGTCCCCCTATTGTCCCTACAAAAGTACCAGGAGCTCCTCAATGAAGATGTGCTCATGATACACAAGATAGAGTTTATGTGAAAGGCAACATTGTGCCATCAAATAACATTGGGGCATTGGTTCAGCACTGATGAAGAGGGAAAAACTCCCTCTTCGTCATTAATGTTAATTCCTGCAGCTCCAGCTCTTTCTTAGGCCTGGTCTACACTAACCCCCCAAGTCGAAGTAAGGTACGCAACTTCAGCTACGTGAATAACGTAGCTGAAGTCGACATACCTTACTTCGAACTTACCGCGGTTCAGACGCGGTCCACACGCGGCAGGCAGGCTCCCCCGTCGACTCCGCGGTACTCCTCTCGTTGAGCTGGAGTACCGCAGTCGACGGCGAGCACTTCCTGGTTCGATTTATCGCATCCAGACCAGATGCGATAAATCGAACCAGGAAGTTCGATTTCCAGCCGCCGAACTAGCGGCTAAGTATAGACCAGCCCTTAGAGATCAGCGTGCTCTGGGCTGATTCAAAGTTAGGTAACTTTTTCTGTTTCCTTCTAGGTACAACAGCTGCAGGTCTTGTTGTTGCAGGCCCATGGAGGGACACTCCCGGTGTCTATCAAGTAAGAACTATAGACTAATGCTTAATGTAACTAGAGGCCTTGATTCCCCACATCTCCACCTCCCTGGCTGAGACTAGATCTCGTGCACTGAGGCTCTAGACTGCACTTGGTGCTAAGATAGGAACTAATTTGCCACTCAAGTATCTGTCAAGGCCTCTTTCTCACTCCTTTGTCACGCTCACTAAATCTCATTGCACCAATGTTTCACTTCCACGTGCAGCAATACCCTCTGTAAGAATGCAACAGTCTAGCTGTAGTAGAGGAGGCAGGGGGAGGAACTTGATCAATAATGGTAACATTTTAGTAGTGTAAATATCTGCCTTTCAAGAGGCTGCTAACAAACACTATGAGCAACTGACTTTATTTCCCCTCTAGCTTAAAAACCAAACACTAGCAAATCCAGGGAGGAAATGATGCGTGTATGGGTCTGTTTTAGAGAGTGCATCGACTCCTAAGTGAATGCCATTTCTTGATTTAACACCAGCCACAGTGATGCTACCTAAATAGTATCCACTTGTCTATGTGATACAGTAACTATTTAACTTTTATAGTGCTTGAAGGTCTTAAATTCAGGATTTGGGTTTTTCCAGTTATTTCCTTCTCTTAAACTGATCCAGCCCCTGTTTGTCATTGTTCTGTTGGGAAATGTGCAGAGAACTTAAATCTCACTCCAAAACTTTACTAAAGTTGCAGTTGAGCTGTAGTTGGCCTTAAAACTTCCCTGAGCAGGCATCTTACCCTGCTTTTTAAATTGAAGGGTAGCATTTTACTGACCATGTATTTCTCAGACATATTGGATAAAATCCCTTGTACTTCCTCCTTCCTACAGGACACTTCTGCCATATAGTTTCTCAATCCATCACCCAAACTGTAAATTAAAAGCAAGCAAAGATTACTTTTCCATCTTCCTAGACTGTAAGCTTCTCAGTACAGGAGTTTTATCTCTCTTCAATTTTCTGTCACAGTTCAGGGTGACTCCACCTGCATCTCAGCAAGGATGCCTACCCTCAGGCTTCCAGCTCCCCAGCTGTTGCCTCTCTCAGGCAGAGATGTGTGTCTCTCACCCTTCTGACCAGGGTATTTCCAGGTTGTACAGTTTCCTGCCTTCATTGTGTATTTCCCAGCAAAGACAGTCTGCTTAAACAGACCTACTTGCTTTCTCTTGAGAGTCTGATACCAGAATGATTGCCACAGATATGTGACTACACGATTCTTTTTAAGCAAGCCTACTTTATTCTTAAGATTAAAAAGCATTAGGGAGAGAACCTATTTAAAAACAAAAGAACCTACAACATATGCTAGTAGGGGGTTTGGTAAGCTTAAGGTCATGCCTACATTACAAACTTATGTTGACTCAAGTCATGTTGGCACACAGCTGCTGCAGTTATTACATTGCTTGTGTGCATGCATACTTGGCTCCTTGTGTCAATGGTGTGCATAAGCACACCTGGTAAGTGTACTGATGCAGAGTGCAGTGCTCTATGGGTAGGTATCCTGTTGTACAACTTGCCACCGTTCAGCGCACTGTCTTTTGGGAAGATGCATGATGGGTCCGAAACAAGTCACACAGGAGTGACTGGGAGCATGGCGTCAACGTACCAGTTTGCAACTGTCTGCATCCCATACTTTTTGTGACTTTTGTCAAAAACCTGTGACCCTCCTTGCTGTCCGCCATCTCTGACAGAAGCATGGAGCCTGCACAGCTCAGCACTATTGTCACAAGTGTTGCGAGAACAGGGTATGTGATCCTGGAGTATTTGCAGAGCCACAAGAAAAACTGAATGAGAGGGAACGTGACATTTCCTTGGAGGACAGATTGCTGTGGAACATAGTGAGAACCAATTCAAGGTTCTCCCCTTGCTCATGAAGTCATACACCGGCCATCTCGACAGCACCAAGGAATGAATAATCTACCAGCCCAGCAGGTGCAGAATAGCAATTGAATGGGCTTTTGGTCGTTTGAAGGGTCATTGGCATTGTTTACTCATAAGATTGGACCTCAGTGAGGAAAAAATCCCAATAATTAGAGCTGCCTGCTGTGTCCTGCATAATATGTGAAGCAAAGTTGGAAAAGTTTCTGCTATGGTGGAGCGAAGAGGTGGAGCAGCTGTCTGCTGAATTTGAGCAACCAGATATATGGGCTATTAGAAGAGCTCAGTGCGACGCTATATGACTCAGAGGTTTTGAAGACTGTTTTTAACAGAGAGCCAGAGTAGGGTATGGTGGTGTGGGCTGTCCCTGTTCTTTTGTGCTCTGGTAAGAATCATGTGGTGGTTGCTGTACATGTAGGAATATAACCTTGTCAATGCACCTATTAATTTTGTTTGTGAATGATCCTATGAGTTGTGTAACAAAAACAAATACATTAAAAACTTAATAAATTAAGAGAACAGAACTTCTGAAGGGGAAAGGCCATTCATGTCCATTTTGGCTACATATGTACAGCGACCCGTGAAAGTCTCACAGTTGGTGAATGTGAAGCTGTGATTGTCATTAATGTTCCCTGGGGTGGAACGGAAGGAGTAGTGCAGCAACCCCTGATGCCAGGTGGAATGTTGAGGGGGTGCATATTGAGTTCTCAATGGGCTGCAGAGGGAGAGGAGCATAGGATTGTTGAACATGCATGTTCAGCAGTGTGCAGCACCTGTGTTCTGCTGCCTGAGAAGCCCTAGTATGTCCTGATGCATCTCCCTCTCCTTTTCCTGCTGGGACTCCTGGGCCTTTCTCCTCTCCGCTCTTTCCTTCTCCAGAATGTCCACAACGTTCATCCTCCAGGCTCTGTGCTCAGTCTGATGCAGCACTAGTTTGCAGGATCTCATTGAACATGTCTGCCCGAGTCCAGTTCTTTTTCCTCCTTATCTGGCTCAGGTGTGGAGCAGGAGACTTTGAAGGCCACAATGGCAGCAGCTGAAGATACAAACAGAGGTACCATTATCAGCATGTTCGCTACAGAAAGCAAAACTTAAAATGTTGATCTCGCTCCCCTAAAGTTATAAGCACTACATTCTCACTTTTGCTTGGGATTGCTTGTGAATGGTGCCAGTCACATCACCAGCCATGGTCAGTATGGCCTGCTGGAGGATGTGGAAATGAGGAGGGAATTGCTCTGTTGCATGATTCTAGTAGCATAGGGCAATAGCACTGAATACTGGCACCATTTTCCATAGATGGTGACTTTTTAGCTAGCATCTCACTGCTGAGGGTAACAAAGGCAGAGAACACAGCTGCTACTCATGTCCTGAAGCTGCCCAGACCCACATGCTGCTAGCCGGTGTACTGCAATAGTGTCTGCTAAGTTATCGCTGAGTGGCATGGGAAAGTGTCCTATTGCAGAGGAAGAAATAAGGCAGCTCTCCCTAGAAATCTTTGGCAGAGTACTCCCATGAAAGTTCCATCATAAGCTCTCAGGAGGATTCAAGGACCATCCCTATGTACATACATAAACTGCTCTGCATGCCCACACAAAATCCTGGAGGGGAATGAAAAGCAGATAGCAACTCTACCTCTTTTTTTTGGTTGTACCACTACCTATTCTACTATGAATAAATTAAGACTGTGTCCTGCTACTTTGAGGGTGCCAGCCTTGTAATGGAAAATAATGGTTCCTTCCCCTGTATCAGGCTTGCCTATGTTGGACTGTGGTGGAATCAAAACAAAAAACCCAGGTCCTGGCTTGCTGCGCAGCTGGGTTCCTTGGTCGCCTGTCCCCCATACTCCTCTTCATCCATCACATCCTCACTGTTCATGGCAGGGACCTGTGACTTGGGCCCCTCAGAGGTATCCCCGGTGCTGTGGGGATTGGTGGTGGTGTCTCCATCAATATGGCATGCAGCTTTTCAGAAAAGCAGCAGGTCTGTGGCTTGGCACCAGATTGATCATTGGCCTCCCTGGCCTTCTGGTATGCCTGCCACTGCTTCTTGGCTTCTCACACATCACTGCTGCTGGTTCCTGTCATATCTGTTCTCCTGCATCCCCTGAGTAATCTGCTCATAGATGTCAAAATTTTTACGACTGGTCCATAAACTGTGCCTGCACAGCCTCTTCTTCCCGCAGGCCTAGGATATCCAATATCTCCTGTCTACTCCAGGCATGAGTGCATCTGGAGCAGGTAGCCGACATGGTCAGCTGGAGAGTTGCTCTCAACAATGGAGAGCTGCTAGGTGTGATCGCCAAGCCCGGCAGTCAGGAAAAGGAATTTCAAAAATTTGCAGGGCTTTAAAGGGGATTGGGGACTTTCGGATCTCTGACTCCTGGGCAGTGGAGTTCACGATGGTGACTAAAGAAGTCAGCGTGGAGCATTGTGGGACAGCTGCTAGAGGACATTTAGTGTCGACATAAATAATGCAGTGTCTACACTTGCACTGTGTTGATCTAAGCACATTGATTGTCGCTCTATGCTTGTCAGGGAGCTGGTGTGACTATGTTGGCCTATCGGGTTTCTTACAGTGGTGGGAGACCGATTTTAAGTGTAGGCACATGCACAACTAGGTTGACATAAACTGCTTTGCGTCAACCAAACTGTGTTGTGTAGACTAGGCCTAACGTGTATTTTGGCAAGAAGAGTCTTTCAACGCACCCCCCCCTCCCCCCCGGGGGCTTCCTTATAGTTGCCAGTTCATAACTGCTTTAACTGAGAACAAGTACCCTCATGACATGTTTAGGCCACCCTTTATAATAATCCAGGAGTTTTTGAGCTGGAGTTTACGGAAGCAGGTAATTAGAATACAATGGGTGTCTGTGTGTCTCTCTCTCCCCCCAAAGCGTGTCTTCAAAGGTTGGATCTAGAGGGGTAGAACTTGCATTCCCTCCACCTCAAGGTACATCCTAAGGAAATCTATTTCAAACATATTGTTCCAAAAAGACCTTTGAACTTCCTCATACCTTCCAAAGATTGCAGTAATATTTGTCTTCCTGCTAAAGAAGTTCCATAAAATCTCACAATAATACATAAACACTTCCATTTCCTATACAATGTATCCCACAGGTATTAACCCCAATTCAATAAGGTTTAACTTAATTCAATAAATTTCATTCAGGATATTGTCAGTCTGTGACAGTAAACACCTCATTGGCATTAAAATAATAAATGCTTGTCTTAATTAGTATGAAGCCATCAGAGAATCTGCAGTCCCTCATGGAGAAGAACCAGTCCCTGATAGAGGAAAATGAAAAGTTGAGCCGAGGTCTGAGTGAGGCAGCTGGTCAGACAGCCCAGATGTTGGAGAGAATCATCCTGGTAAGGCTAAAATTCTATGTGAAGAGCTTTTAGCTACACATTACTGTTTCCTAACTGTTGGAAGCTGACCACTAACAGTGTTCTAATGCTATTCAGGAGCATCTGACTCTGGAGGACTAAAGCTGAATTTGAAGGGAACAAAACAGTAGCAATATGATGTTAGGCTACAGAATGCATCTGGTTCTGAAGCCTGCAGGTTTTGACTCATATGTACTAGAATTAGAATACTCTACTTTGAAAATGCATCACTCACAGGAATATAACACTGAATACCAACTTTTCCATCTCCCAAGTGCTCCCATCAGTCACTGTGGCTCTGTATGTCTTGACCATTTGGAGGCCATTTGCCCGCAGCGGTTGTACTGCCAAACTTTGCGATTCCAGGGTTAAATAAGTCAAAATGTGTCTTGTATGCGAACTTCTCCCAAAACCTTCTAAGACCTGCTCTTTTGTGGGCTTTGGAGAAAAGTCCAAACTTACTTTCATTTAAAGGGAGCTAACCTTCCCCGATCGTGCATAAACCCGTATCGAATCACCGTGCAAGTCACCTTAACAGCAGAATGACGAAGCAGCTATTCCTACAAAGAAGATAGCTGTTTCTTGCTTCTCCTTCTATAATTCAGTATCTAATTGACTTTTCTTTTCTTAGACAGAACAAGAAAATGATAAGATGAATGCCAAACTTGAGGAACTCCGGCAGCATGCTGCGTAAGTCCCATCCAGTTTCATGTGCTGCAGAAGTGCCCTGCAACACTGCTCATTTCATTTATTGGCTCTGCATTTGTTATTCCAAAGTCCATCTGTATGCAGGGAGGGTGAACAGTATGTTAGCAATACCCTATCTACTGAGGGTCAGACATGCAATTGCCAAGCAAAACCAGTGGACTCAGTTGCATGTCTGAATTTTTCAGGTGCAAACTTGATCTGCAGAAGCTGGTAGAGACTCTGGAGGATCAGGAGCTCAAAGAGAACATAGAAGTGGTTCGTAATCTGCAGCAAGTGATAGTCCAGTTGCAGGTAAGAACTGACCTAGAAAATGGGAAGATCCCTGTGCCAAATGAGCTTCCTACTGAGAGGAACCCAGTGGTATGGTGCCAGTCTGCTAGGTAGTTGTTTCTTTATAGCCCTGCTAAATAAGCCCTCTGCACAGGTGTGTGGCTGTTAAATGGCTTTTGGCAAGTTACTTTAATATAGACTTACTGTTGAAACTTCAAAGCCACAAAATGACCATTTTATGCTCAGATAGCTGCTCCCTCCAGATTAAATGAGTATCCTCAGAAAAATGCTGTGAAGTGAGACTATTGCACAGATTTACAGTCTAAAGACTGGGTAACGCAGGGCGCAAAAACAACTCTTGTAAGTTCAGGGCTTTAGCGTCTATATTTCTATTAAATGGTCGTATTGGAGGGAATTGTTTGAAAATTTCCATGTCTAATATATGACTCGTCTATATTCCCCTTCCTAGATGTCCCTCAAAGCTCCAACCACCCCATAAGGAACTGGCTGCCAATTCTGTGTAGTTCAGGAAATGTCTGATAGGGAGTAACTTTGCCTAGTCAATTGAGACTCAGTTCAGAAGAGGCATTCACTGCTGCTGTTAAAATGGGATGCCAGTGGCCTCCTCTTCCCAGAGAGGGGAGTTTTTTCAGATCAGAGGACAGAGTCTAGAGAAGCCTTTGCTGCTCTAAATGGACAGCAAGGAGCCCTTGTTAACTGCACTTCTTCTCACTGCTGTACATTAAAGTGCTCTGTTTGCCCTACACAGGATGAAAGTGCTGCCTGTGTGGCAGCATCCATGGAAGCTGTTGCTGAGATGGCAAACTCTGAGCAAGAATCTGACGCTGTAAGTAGTGGGGGGGGTCTGATATACTGCAGATTTTGACTATGTAAATATTCTCATTCACTCAGTAATTGTATCTTTCCCGTTCCCTAATCCCATGTATTTGGCACTTAGTTACTTCTTACCATCCATCCTTCCTCCTTTACTGTACCCTTTCCTATTTTTTTATTTTCTCCTTCTTAAAATTATGAAGTTATGTAAAAAAATTTTTTAAACATTTTCTAGTAATACTGCTGCTTACTTCAGTAGTATTCAACTGTTCTGCTATGTTCAAACTGCCAGTGCAAGCACTGAAGATCCCCTTGGAATTGGCTTCTTTTGGCTAATAATTGTGACTATATTCCAGCAAGCAGAAACCAGCCAGGACAGCAAGAGATCCCCAGATGCTTTCACCACTCAGCATGCCCTCCGCCAGGCAGAGATGTCCAAAGCACTGATAGAATTAAATAAAGCCCTGGCTCTAAAAGAGGCCTTGGCCAAGAAAATGACCCAGAATGACAGCCAGCTGGAGCCCATTCAGTCCCAATACCAGGTAAACGCTCCTTTCCAGGAAGGCCCATGGAAATATCTGTCCAGTGTTGTCCTCTTCTTCACCCCATATGTGTGGGTTTTGTAACGCTAGTGGGAGAAGGGATTCATCAGGACATGAGCATTCCCTTGGTGGCTCTCCTAGTAAGAACTCCATATTGCCTAGAGGTGTGGTATGAGAGGGCCGAGTTCTGTGACAGAGGCATCTCTGGAATGGTAGTCATCTAGCTGTAGGTGCCCACAGGAGGCAGAACTATGGTGCCTAAATGTCTGCACCTGGTTCTACTAAGCAGACAGTCCTTGCTTCTTCTGATCGGGACATTGGCCACTGACTGTTCCATGTAATCCTAGTCTTCCAACTCACTCCTCAGAATTGCACTTCTGCTGTGGCACTGCTTAGCCTCCATGGAACTCAGCCACTGCTGCCATTGAACTGGCTTCCTCTCTCCTATAAGTGCTGGAATCCATCATTTTTGAACCCACCTGACTTATTGATCAAAACATGACTGCCAGACTAAAAGGCTAACTGCAGGTGTATATTGATCTGGCTCCTACAGCTGCTGCATGGGGTGGTCTTCTGATCCCTCTGACAACAGTGCAGTTGTCCAACCTATTGAAAGGAAACATGGCTCCCCAAGGCCTTATCTAGCCTTGTCCCTAGCCGTTGGGATTTCAAGACTTGTAACCTGAAGCTCTCTGCTCCTGTCTCCTTTCTAGACTAATATCAAGGGCCTGGAGTCAGAGGTGAGCAGCCTGCAAAAAGAGAAGGAAGAGCTGATCCTTGCACTTCACACTGCAAAGAAGGATGTTAACCAAGCAAAGTAAGGCTGGCTAGAAAGGCCAAGTAGATTGGTTCCAGTAGATGCTCATTTCTCTAATCAGTGGCACTTGGCCTGGCAAGTAAAGCCCTGCTGGCAATTGCTGCACGTACTGAATACTGGAATAAAACATCAAATCCTAAATTCCAAACTGTTGCAATGAATGGGCTTGTCTGCTCCATGACTAATGTCCCAGGTGATAAATCTGCTAGCTCAGCACACTTCAAGTGCTGGGTGTAGTTTTTATCACCACACTGCACAATGAACCAACCTAGGGAATTGCATTCATACCCCTGCCAGATAATGAGGGCTCTGGGGAATCTCTTGTCCAACCTTAACTACTTCATTGAGACAATGAGTATGTTTTGAGGCTGTGGAAGGGTTCATGTTTGGCACTAGGAAGGGGCCTACTGTATGTAGGGTAAAAACCTGAGACTGGCATAAAGTATGAGGGGGAAATATCCTCAACTCTGAATGAGTAAATTTTCAGTTTCTCTTGTACAGAATCTATTCTGACTTAGTGCATCCTGTTAGGAGTTGAGATGAGGAAGGGGAGGCCCTTGAGACTGAACGCCCAGAACAGGGAGCCAAAGAATCATTCTTAGCCCTGCTACAGACTCTGATCTTAGGTAGTTCTCTCCCTTTTCAGTGACTCAGTTTCCAATCAATAAAACAAGAATAATGCATACTTGATTTAATTTGTTGGGAAGGACTTGTCAGACTTATCTATCTTTAAAGCGCTTTGCCGTCTGCTGATTAAAGAGGCTAGTGATAAGAATAGAATTAGAGTATACTCCTGTTTTTCCAAATGGCTTGGAACAACAAGCTGAAACTTTTGGATAACCAGGCATTTAGATAAACAGAAGTACTATTTTGATCTGGGTTCTAGCTTTGGGCTGGGAGGCAAAGGTCTGGATACAGTGGGAGTTGCAGGCTGAAGTCACTCTGGGGAGCTGCTTTACCCAATTGGCTACTGTTGCCATTCTTGGCTATGAGCCAATGAGCTCTGTGTGTCAGCCTCTCCTGCACAAGTTACCTGCCCTGGGCTATGGCCGGACACAGCCCCTCAGTGATGATTCCAGTGTCAGTGAAATTCCTGCATTAATGATCACTGGGAGGGGTCGTGTCCTGGGCTGCAGGGCTCCATGATGGGAGAGGAGGGCTAACTAGAGATGCTGCTATGGCTATAACTAGTTACAGGCTTCACTTTTGAACTGGGTACAATGCTGCAGCCATGGAACCAGATTGTGAGTGGATCTATTGTTGCACTGGTATAGCATGAATTGTACTCCTTGCTGAATATTACTTAGCATTAAGAGGTTAATTGAGAAGTTATTAGTGGGCTACCTGGGGGATGCACTGTGGATTCAGATAACCGAAAATTCTAGTTAACTGGGACTGTACTGCATTATAGTTCCAGGCTCTACTGGTATGTCTACACTGCCAAAAAAAAAACAAAAAAATCCACCCCTGCAGCAGAGAGACTCAGAGCCTGGATCCAATGAATCGGGCTTGCACTATGAAGCTAAAATTAGCAGTGAAGACATTTGGGCTTGGACTGGAGCCCAGGCTTTGAAAACTGGTGAAGAAGGAGGGTCTCGAAGCCTAGGCTCCCGGGCTCTGGGACTAGCTGCTGTCCGTCTCTCTTGGGGAGTTTTAAGTTATGTTTGCACTGCAGTCGGCTCTTATTCACCTGAAGGGAACTGATCTCAAAGCTGAGATGTTCTTAGCTTGCCCAGGATCAACCATTCTACTTACACCCTGGGAAATAGATTTCTAGTGTGCATCTCCCTTCCAACCTTCCCTTTGGATTGAATGAGTTGCTGAGAAGCACAACTGGAGTTTCTAAACTCTCCTTTATACAGTGGTCAGGCAATGGGGTGAGTGAGGGACAGCAATTCTGGGTCTGTTTTCACAGTAAGGAGAAGGGGAGTCTGTTCCTGGAGAACAGCACTACTAGGCATATATTTATAGGGTGATTCTTTGCAGGCTGAGTGAACGACGCAGGAAAAGACTCCAGGAGTTGGAAGGGCAAATGAATGAGCTAAAGAAGAAATTGAATGAACAGTCAAAACTCTTGAAGTTGAAAGAATCTACAGAGCGCACAGTCTCCAAACTGAACCAGGAGATTCGGGTAACTAACACTGCCATATGCAGCCTCTGAGCTCCATCTAATGGAGCAACTTCCAGCCAGAAGACAGTGAAAGCTTCCATTTTATTGGGCTGGCATCACTTTGTATTGCAAGACTCATGTAATTGTAGTTCTGTGACTAGTGCTGCTAATGATGGAGTGGATAGGAGGCTCTTATGGTATAAGCATAAGGCTGGGAGTCAAATCTGGCTATACTACTCATTCAGTCCAAGCCTTGGGCAAGTCACTTGACTTTGTTGTAACTTAGTTTCTATGTCTGTAAAATTGAGATGGTTCCCTACACTTTTAAGTGGGGGTTAACAGGATGAAATCATTAGTCTCAAGCACTGACATCCTCAAAAGGCTGATGCTGCGGGTAGGCAAAGTTTTCGTAATATGTCCTCTTGTCAAGAGTACTTGAAAAAACTATGCGAAGTGTAAGTATTGGAGTAACTTTCTCCTGCAGGAAATGAAAAATCAGCGGGTACAGCTGATGCGCCAAATGAAAGAGGATGCGGAGAAATTTAGACAGTGGAAGCAGCAGAAGGACAAGGAAGTGATCCAGCTGAAAGAACGAGTAAGTGAGCCATTAATCACCTGGACAGTCACTGCTGGCCATGAGTTAACTTACCTAAGGGGTTGGCTCGACTTGCAAATAAACATCTGAAAACATAACATCTCTACAGTGCCTTGAAAATAACAAACCAATAGGTCAAAAAGCCTCTTGTTCCATATATACCTGAGTGGCAGGCTGCCACCTTTCACCAGTTATATGTGTCAAGGGAAGATTGACGATTTGCTTATGTCTGAGGTTCCTTGATCTGCCAGCAGAGTGATCACAACTCAGATCTAAATCAGAAGTAAAAAATAACACCGCGTTAGTACCTAGGGGTATCTTTACCACAAAATAGAAGTAGTTGGCATCTGCCCTTTCAAGGGCATATTGAGAATATACCACATGAGCAAATAGTTAAAGCTGTTACTATTACAGTAGTTAATGTAATCAAATCAGGTTGTGGCATTCAGGTCTAATGGGGCTTCTGTGCCTCTTGAGTCTTCATGTGTCCTTGTCTCAAGGTGTTGTGAGCAGAACAGTTCTAGCCCCAAAGGATGTAGGAGACCATATTCTAGAGCAGGGTTAGGCAACCTATGGCACGGGTGCCAAAGGCAGCATGTGAGCTGATTTTCAGTGGCACTCACACTGCCCGGGTCCTGGCCACTGGTCCGGGGGGCTCTGCATTTTAATTTAATTTTAAATGAAGCTTCTTAAACGTTTTAAAAACCTTGTTTACTTTACATACAACAATAGTTTAGTTATATATTAAAGACTTATAGAAAGAGACCTTCTGAAAACATTAAAATGTATTACTGGCACGAGAAACCTTAAATTAGCGTGAATAAATGAAGACTCGGCACATCACTTCTGAAAGGTTGCCGACCCCTGTTCTAGAGCAACAAGGGCCACTTGAATTTTGTCAGCTTAAGCTTACAGTGATCAGTGTTGGTCATAGAGCACATAGGATGTCTGTTTCATGCTCCCCCTGGACTAAACAAGTGCACTGTAAAATATGTCTTTATATGACTTGCAACTTTTTGACCTGCCTAGTTTCTTTCTCTTCAGGATCGCAAGAGGCAGTATGAGCTGCTTAAGCTAGAACGAGACTTCAAGAATCAGGCCAATATCCTCAGACGCAAAACAGAAGAGGTAAGGAGCGAACATCTGCTCAGGACTCCTGATCAATCCCCCAAGGTCTGGAAGACATGACTGGAGTTTTGGCAGGGGACAGATCGAACTCTTGATATTCAGGGGAACAGTTTGGGGGTTTGGAGATGAATTGAAGATGTCAGTTCAGAGGGGGTGCTTTGTGACTTTTTTCTCTCCCCCTTGAAAAATTTTGGGACTCTGCCTCTTAATTCTCACTGTCTCCTTCCCAAACCCAGTAACTCTTGATTGCACTGCCTGCCCTAGATTCTACCACCTGTTCCAACAATGATGGATAAGCACACTAGCTGGATCTGCTAAAATGATCACCAATGAGATCACTAATGTTTAAAGTGTTGACATTAGGCTTCAGACTTCTCATTGGCATGAGTGGGTGCAGTTAACACTGTGCAGAGCTTGTCTCAGGCTGTTTGCAGGCAGGAGAAGACAGCACTGCATCAGTTTACTCTGGGTCCACTTCTTGAAGGTTTTCTTCAACCATAAGGTCTAGAAGCAGAAATGCTTTGACACAAAAATGCTTTTAAAATGAGAGCTTCAGTTCTGGTACACAACTGCAGTGGGTGTATTCTGGAGACAACTTGGCTGCAGAATCACAGGAAATAATGTACCCAGCATATAGACTCAATAGTAAAAGTGCATTCTAGAGGTGAACCAAGAGGCTTGTAATATGGCTAAGACCCTAGTTAAGGGGTATGCTCCTCCAGAGGCTATTGACATCAATAATTCCAAAAGCAGATCAGGCAGCTGTTTCCTTCATGCTTAATACTGCCCTGTGTGCAGTGACATCCCATCTGTATCTGCTCTACAAGTGCTCAGTGAAGGAAGAATGGATTCTTATAAATGTAGATATACTACTCCACAGCTAAAGCTAAAAGCAGCAGTGTTTTTGGTTAGCATGTCATCGTGCAGATGCTTCCTGACTGGCTTTCAGCAGCATGGAGTCCTGCACCGAGAGCTGTGAATCACATTAAGCTAAGCAGCCCAATAGTTTCTACTATGCTAGGGATTCAGGGAGGGGAAATGATTGTATGTGTGGTGGGGTTTTTGCAGGCAGCAGCTGCTAACAAGCGCCTGAAAGATGCTCTACAGAAACAGCGTGAAGTAGTGGATAAACGGAAAGAGAGCCAAAACCGAGGAATGGAAGGCGCTGCTGCTCGAGTAAAAGTGGGTATCAGTATAGTGGTGCACTGCCTGATGCACCCCTTTGAATAATGAGCTAGCACAAAGGTTGCCTGACTAGCTCACTGATGGAGGCTGGGTTAGATGGGTGGAAAACAGAGAAGGGCCATGGAATTTCCTGTCCTGTATAGGAGTAAATAAGGGCAACATAGTTTATTTGCCCCTAGATATGGAGGAGAGTTCAGAGGAGGCAGTGGGTGACCGAAGTCCCACTGTTGCGATGTCCAGTAGAGTTTATTACAGGGGTGGGCAAACTTTTTGGCCCGAGGGCCACATCTGGATATAGAAAGTGTATTGTGGGCCATGAATGCTAACGAAATTGGGGTTGAGGTGCGGGAGGGGGTGAGGGCTCTGGCTGGGAGTATGGGCTCCAGGGTGGGACCATAAATAAGGAGTTACGGGTGTGGGAGGGGGCTCTAGGCTGCGGCGGAGGGGGTGCAAGGTGGGGTGAGGGCTCTGGCTGGGGGTGCAGGCTCTGGGGTGGGGCTAGCTATGAGGGGCTTGGGGTGTAGGCAGGTGCTCCAGGCTGGGACCAAGGGGTTCGGAGAGAGGGGGATCAGGGCTGGGGCAGGGGGTTGGGGCGTGGGGTGGTGGTGCTTACCTCAAGCAGCTCTCGGAAGCAGCAGCATGTCCCCCCTCCAGCTCCTACACGGAGGTGTGACCAGGCAGCTCTGCTGCACACTGCCCTGTCTACAGGTGCCACCCCTGCCGCTCCCAATGGCCGTGGTTCCCGGCCAATGGGAGCTGCAGTGGCGGCGCTTGGGGCGGGGGCAGCATGTGGAGCGGAGCCCCCTGACTGCCTCTATGCATAGGAGATAGAGGGGGCACATACCGTTGCTTCCGGGAGCTGCACGGAGTGGCCCCTGACCCCGCTCCCCAGTGGGACCTCAAGGGCCAGATTAAAACAGCTGATGGGCCAGATGCGGGCCATAGTTTGCCCACTCCTGGTTTATTATCTCTGTCCTGTCTTTCTCCAGAGCTGGCTTGCAAATGAAGTGGAGGTTCTGGTTAGTACTGAAGAGGCCCGGCGCCACCTCTCTGACCTTCTGGAGGATAGAAAGATCTTGGCCCAGGAACTCCTGCAGCTTAGAGAAAAGGGGGAAGCTGGGGAGACTCCACCTCTAAAACTTCGGGTGAGTGACACACAGGGAGTCATAGCTGAGAGCTACACTCACTCTCTGTCCCCTTATTGCTACACTGGTTCTCTCCTATTTGGGTCTGTGAAGTCCTATGACGAGTAGATTAATGTTTCCACAGCCCCCCTGGCTGATGAAAGGAATAGCAATGAAGAGGTGATTGGAGCACAAGAGGTAGCGGGGATCTGGTTCTTCATGGTTCT